GCTAGGAACTTTTGATAACATTTAATGTTGTTGATGTCACACTTTTCACACAAGAGCCTGATTGGGTATTTAAATGTCAAATGTTTAACTTGCCTTTCTTATTTTGCTCTTCCACTTTGATGTAGAATTGACTCCCTGTATTTTGGAGGTGTTGGATACTGTAAAAGAAGAGTATTAACTAAGGCAGAAGTGGGGATGTTTGTTAATCCTTTCAGACACAAGATGGCTTCTGAATGCCTGAATAAACTGCTCAGATTTTTTTATACTTCTTGGGCTTACTCATTGGACATATGTGATGATATACTGCACATCAGTGCCTCAGAGAAAATACACTGTGGCACTTAAAAAAAAATTACTGTTCTGTGAATAAAATTTTGTTTAACAGATATTTACAGAAGACCTCCCTGAAGTGGAAGCTTTGCCACGAGACAAAGTGCTCAGTTTCTTAATAGAAAATTTTAAGAGCTTGACTATTCCTTATCTGGTAAGAACTCAATCTATACTAGTACGTTACATTCAGTACATGTTACATGTAAGACTTTAATTCTCCAGGCGTTGGAGCCTGATGCTGTCTCAGAGAGTGCTAACTTTGCCATAAGTTGTGCAAAGAAAAAATAATTAAAATATACGAAATCGTGAAGTCAAGCTTCCTAAAGGCAAGCGTGGAACTGTTGCTTGCTTATAACAAATTACTTCCCAGAGGAACTGTCTATAGCTGAACCTGAACGTCTGTTTACAGGAACATATCATTCATGTCTGGGAAGAAACTGGTGCAGACTTTCACAACTGTCTGATCCAGCTGTACTGCGAGAAAGTGCAGGGCTTAATGAAAGAGTATCTCAATTCTTTCCCTGCAGGTATGTTTAGCCTTTTCTGGTGGGACGACCAGGGGAATGGGACAGCACGGGGAGTCTTCACAGTGTATAGCTGTAAGCCTTCCCTCTTCACATTCAGAAGAAGATATCCCAAGTGATGAACGAACTGGAACAACAAAAGTTGTGGGTTTATAGGGAAGTCTAGTTTAGTGCCTCCCTAGAGATCTTAAGGCACCAAGTGACACTTTGTTCATGATTAAGTGGAATGGCAGCTACTGCTCCCTGAATTCTGCACATTAAGAGTAGGGAAGGGTCATGAATAACTGAGTCTATTGTTTAACCAGCCACTTGATGTGTTTTAGGAAGCAGAAGTCATTTGACAGGTGCACCAGAATCCCATGCCGTGTAACAGTTTCATCAGTGTTTGGTTCTTCCTCATAATGATTTGTTCATCTTCTTCTGTGTACTAGTGTGGTGAAATAGTTGTAATACCATAGCTTATGTTGTTTTCTTCCATATAGATAAAACTCCGGTGCCTGCTGGAGAGGAAGGAGGAGATTTGGGGGATTACCGGAAAAAGCTTCTACTTTTTCTGGAGAAGTCTAGCTGTTATGAACCTAGCCGACTGATTAGTGACTTTCCCTTTGATGGTGAGTTCAGTTTCCATAGGTTAATTAAACCCTAGCTGATTGCATTGTACAGCAAAACCTCCTCGCTTGTTGTAGAATCATGGTAACTAGAAATAGAAAAAAGATGACTGTATGTGTAGTTGTAGGCCACTGGGATGTTACACTAGTGTTTACCAACTCTGGTTTTGCTGGCACAGTCGTGTTTACCAGTCTCTGCAGGATTCTTGTAACTGTGGGCGTAAGACCTTGTGGTGTGTCCCATCACTTAAATATTTAGCCTAACTTTTTGATGAGCCTGAATTGCTCAACAGATCTGAAGTTCGTTGTTTCTTAAGGTTACTTAAGAATTCATAAAATGTTACTGAGACTGGTGTGAAGTAGACTTACAGTCTCAGTGTAACTTTAACCTGTGCTCAGACTACAGTTTATAGTTCTTCCTGTTAGTCTGGTCACTAATGGAGGTTATGTTGTCCTTTCTCTGTGTGGCTATTGACTAATCCTTCATGCTATCACTAGGTCTCCTAGAAGAACGTGCTCTGCTCTTGGGTCGTATGGGGAAGCATGAACAAGCTCTGTTTATTTATGTCCATATTTTGAAGGACACCAACATGGCTGAAAAGTAAGGGTTTCTTTTTTTTTTTTCTTTTAAGACTGAGTTTGCTCACTGCCCTGTGGATAGGATGTGTAGTAAAGTGTTGCTGTATGTGGCGCATGAACGCTGTAAGCCTTCAGGATCTTCTGGGTTTCCATGTTTTCCTGACTTCTAGACTCTTCCAGGTATCTTTTCCTTACAGATGGTGATGCTGTCCCCTTGAAGTTTACCTTTTCATGCTCTTCTGTCATTGCACTTTAGAGCAATATGACTGTCATCAGTGAGTTCTTTGTTTCCACCTGTCCTTATCTTATCAATGTCTATATGTTATTTTGCTTCCTTTCTTTTTGGAGAGGCATTCGCTAGCCCAGATGCAATGTTAAGTTCCTTCAGTTAGCAGAATCCTCTCTGGTAAAGAGAGGGCATTTTGCTAGATGTATCATGTCAGGGAACCTTATGAGTGAATCTGAAGTACTTAGGTGAAAATAGTATTAACTGATACTGGCAGGTATATCTGAACATTGAGGCATGTTCAACATAGATTCTTTTAAAGCTAGTTTCAGCAAAGGCCTGTTAGAGGATATTCAGCCCTGGTATGCAGTGTCCACTAATGAACGCCTTCTCTTTGTTATTCAGATACAGTAATTAGATGTATCTACACATACGTTTTTATGCTATGATGTGTTGATTGAAGACGTTTTTCCCTTCCTTTTTACACAGCTGAGTTAAATACAGTTTCTGCTTGAAAGTGTTTTAAGCTCATTGGAAGTGAAGGCTTGCACAAAACCTCCCTTTTCTCAGCATTGTAATGCGGAGCAAATGGTGTAATTTTGTTGTGCAGCTTGGTTAATCGATCAGAATCGGATGCGCAGTCATTTAACTTGGATGGCTTCAGTAATCAAAGTGTTTAAATGTTAATTTCTGTGGACTTGATTCTCTGGGTTCCAAAACTGTCCCTGCATTTCACTTGGTTCTTCTCTGTTCTAGCTACTGCCATAAACACTATGACAGAAACAAAGATGGCAACAAAGATGTGAGTAGTTTCATCTTTGCAGTCTTCCTTTTCAGTAAGGATGTGTTAGACTATTCATACCATGTTAAGAACATTAACGTTTTTGCTCTGTATAGACTTTTTCAGGGTTTGCATAGGTGGACAGGAACCTATATATAAACTCTTGGAATTTAGCACTTACTAGATGATTGGGTGATTGATTGTTTTTTTTTTGAGAGTGTTACTGTATCACTGGAGTTGAGCATATATTCTGTAGCTAAAGTTCTGCTGGAATTCAGAAGGCAAAATACTGTGTGTATATTCCACAAACATCTACAGAAAAGTTAATGGTAAAAAGCAATGCAGTGTTGGTTTCTAAAGGTTATAAGTTGGTTATATAAGATAAATTATATAATTTTATATATATA